ATATATNTAGTNTATATATATATATATNTATATATTATATATATATATATATATATATATATATATATATATATATATATATATATATATANATATATATATATATATAAACACCCGAAGTATGAGTATATTCTACATTTCACGTCATCCGGGTTTTCTACACAAATTTTAGCTCTGTCTTTACACCTGTCTGTAGGAGGTGCTGGGTATAGGTGCCGATGTCATGTGGGATGAGCAGAAAGGCTTCTTTGGCGGTTGCGATGCGCGCTCGTTTTTCATTGGCCACCGCGTCCGCATGTGCGGGCTGGGGTCAAATGGTTCAAATATACAGCCAACAACGTATGTGCGTGCACATTCAAAGGGCTCTCTAATTGGGTCTGCAGATGAGATGGAAGTGTGGGGTTTGTGGGTTGGACTGCTACAGGAATGTGTGACGTGTTGCTTGTGACTGTGCAAAATGGCATGATAAATTTTGACGGGCCAGTTTACGTTAGATTAAGTATGTTACACTGAGAAGTGGTCTCATGCTATTTGCACACGAATTGAGTTATCATCACATACGTTTTGTGGCACATTGACGTCACCAATATCATGGCTGGGCTCATTTAGGGCTGTCTGATGCACGTCTCTTCTGTGCTGAACAATACCATTCGATGTGTGCGCATGCAGTTACGCACGTGTTTGAGTTACCTGTTGAATGCTCACCTCTGTGCGTGTCATGTTTATGTGATATGAAATCGGACTGTCACTAGCATGTCGCGGCATCTACTAACACAAAGTTGTGTGCTTGTTGGCGAACGCCTTCAGACAGTGGTATTACGGAAGTATCACAGAATGCACTCACTAATTGGTTTGGCTCTATGGAGTCGCATCACGGAACCATGCTAAGTATGCATACAGAGATTTGCCTATCATGTATTTAGTTGATATTTAGTCCAAATATTTTGGGCACCCCTGATATTTAGTCTAAATATTTAGGACACCCCGATAATTATTTGAATATTTTGGGCACCCCATTACTTGGTTCAAGTGTACAGCGCGGTAGATCCGAAGGCCGTAATACCGAACTTTCGTCATAGTATGGAAACATTATTGTTAATACCTCAGGACGCTACTATGCGAGCTCTGGTATTGTAATTTGGTAGCAATCACCACCAGTTACCTGCGGGGTTTGGCGGGTTCATACTTTGGACTTAGCCTCTCAGTATATATGCATATTCGTACAAACGACTCTGACGCCAAATGCGATATGAAAACGTACACCTCACTGCATGACAATCCATGTTTTTTTGCGCGCCACGACGTGTAACGTTTTCAGACTCTCGTCAGAAGTCCTGCACAACTTCCAGATTTCTGGAAATAACATCACCGCTTTCCGTTTCAAACCGTTGGGTTTAAGGTGTACAAATACTCGTGGGTGAAACCTGATCACTCATGGTTGTGGACTCAAGTAAGATCGTTTATGACACACGTCTACACACAGAACTATCGATACCACTTCTCTATACATGGCATTCAAGGGCAAGCATCATGGACTGGGTCATAGGCAACTGGGAGCACTGAAGGATTTCGATGTCCTGATAAACTCGGATCTCAGTAGTGGGATGCACCGGCTGGGACACGATGGATATACAATCACAAAGGTGTGTGTTGTAGGGTTAGCGTTTTATAGAAGCCTAAAATTGATGTATGGGAATATACATGTACACACAGGAATACATATAACGATTGGGATGCAACGGATGTTCACTCCACAAGAGTCCACAAGAGTACAAACCCGATACAGCTTATATTACGTATACGCACAGATCTATGGATACGTCAGGACAATATGGTAATATGACAACCAACTTCTAACCCAATAAGTATATATATGAATGTTCGATCTACGTGAAGGTTTATCCAAGTGGGTAGTCCCTAGATGCAAAACTCATCCACCACAAGGAGACAAGGTCAATGCATCATTACGAGCGGTAGACCGTCACTGAAGTCGGCGTGCGTGTGTACCTCGAATACCTGAGTAAGCGGGAATCATTGATTGAAATTAGTATGAGAGAGTATACAAGCTGCTTGGTTGTGAAGTGGGCATGGACTCGTCAGCTAGACCGCTTTATGGTCTGTTCAATCGGTATACATACATCATAATGTATATATGTGGTGTGAGTGAGATGGTGGTTACCTTGGGTTGCCAGGGGCAGTGTGTTAGGTTGGTTAACGACTCCGAATAATCAAATAGGACTGTAGCAATAAGTGTAGGATACCGCCTTATCCAGAAACACGCATGCGACCTAAGTACAGCTCAGGCCTGTGCTTAGTTAATATATTCATTGAACTGTATGACGTATATACCACGATTTCTCAGTCAACCTGATCAAATACAGTCAGACATATATACATGATGCTATGTATTTGACTTACTGCTATGTATTTGACTTGCTGCTTGCAGACCGAAGTGGCGATCAGGCGGATTGAAGTGTGGGGCTGTGCCGGTGCTGCGGTGCGGAGTGGCCAAGCGGAGCAGAAAGACTGGGAGCGACGGCACCGAGAGCGTCTCATTAAGGTCAAACGACCCGGGCGTGAGTTCTGGGATGACAATCCGTAAGTGCGCTTGACTGTGGATACTCGTGGGTTTACTGGCACTGGGTTTGTATATTGTTTATGTTTTATGTTGATGTTTTCGCATATATATAACTTGCTGTACTTTCTACTGAGTGGAGTACAGAATGGCACATGTCTTTTATTTATTGATTGACAGACATGCGCTTTAGCAGCCCATGTTAACGAGTAATTGTCGGCGTGTGGTCCGAATAGTCCTTGAGTGCGCTTCGCTTTCATTTTACCTCATATGAAGAAGAGGGTAATTGTGGCCCGTTATTTACAAATACATTTAATTGCAATCGCCCTGATGTCTACAAAGAATCGTGCGCTTCACTTTCATTTTACCTTATATGAAGAAGAGGCTAATTGTGACCCGTTATGAACGAATATATATAATTACAATCGACCTGATGTGTACTAAGAACCGTTGGCATGGATTATGGGATTCTAACCTGCGACTTCGCGTTTATATTTTTATTTTATCTCTGCCAATGACGATGTCTATTTGATTCCATTTCATAAATGGTCATGTCTAATTCCATCTTATCTCTGACAGTGACTGTGTTGCGGCGTGTTCGTTGTATTTATAACTGAATCCACTCTTCTCGCCCTTGATGTGGACAAGATATCCTACAGATAACAGTTCTAATGTTGTAGCCCACCCTCGTTGGCCGCATTCTGTTTGTACCGATGGCGCATACACTATTTATCCTATACATGGAAATGATAAATTAGTCAAATTTACTGTATCTGTATTTTGGTACCAATTACCATTCGCTCCCTCACTTGGGGTAAGACAGTGCTCTTACCAATACAATCCGTAGCCACGCCGCGTGCTTAGTAGATAGCGTTGTCATAGAGATGTACTCTTGTTCTCACGTGAGGATCGAGTCAGAGTGTCGGTGCATTTCTATGCGCTGTTGTCCTGACTACCAGACACGTTGTGTACTAGTGCGTCCGATGAACACGTTTACACGAGTGTGTGTGTGGTGGTGTTTGTAGAGACAGGTGTAAACCCAATGGATGGACTGACGTTCGGGTTTTTACACGAGTGTGTGTGTGGTGGTGTTTGTAGAGACAGGTGTAAACCCAATGGATGGACTGGCGTTTGGGTGTTTACACGAGTGTGTAAACCCAATGGATTGACTGACGTTCGGGTTTTTACACGAGTGTGTGTGTGGTGGTGTTTGTAGAGTCAGGTGTAAACACAATGAATGCACTGGTGGAATTGGCAGTTGGCAGTTGATGAATGGTGGTGTACCTACACATACTCGACTAAGCAAAACTAAATATAAAACCAATTTATGTTGAACCCGCTCGTCTGTAGGGATAAGGCGTTGCTGGAGATGGCTGGGATTACTATGAGTCATTCTGAGCGAGGAGAGATGCGAGAACCAATAGATGACCAGAATGCCGGGTGAATGGACTTGTGAGTATCGCGATACCGAGGCCAAGAACCCCGAAACCAATACAACTAGTGTTTCAACAAGCGTCAATAAAGCAATTTAGTATATCATGGTGTGTCTCCCTTGTGACTGTGCTCACGTTAATATATAGACATGTGTGATGCTGATTTGTGAACGGATATGGAGTATGGCTAGGGTAACTAACTCAGGACCTGTCACTGTCACTATTCACCCCATAAGCAAGCACATACCTCGATATACATGCACGTGCATATATACACGGTATTCAACTCCTTGCACAAAAAATTCGTTTACTATATCATACTCAAATCTGGTTCCGCCTTACTCAAGTGTACGGCCAGAAGGCCGAGTTTGGAAATAAATTCACACAAACTCGACACTCACACGTGCAAGACGAGCGATTGACCAATGGGATGCCATCTCAATCAATCGAATCGCTTCTCAGTCCAATTCATCGAACGTATCGTCTACACTGCAGTTGCCTCGACACATTGACTGACGTAGATACTAGAGAGAAGGTGTCGCCCCGACAACACCAAAGATTGTAGCAAGATTATAGTATTCCATTTAAACTTTTAAAGTATCGTTTAATATATAAACTTTCAAAGTGTCGTTTAATATATAGGTTCCACCACTCTCAAGAGGGCGATTGCAAGATCTGGGTTGCCCATCATCTCGCACACAACTACTTGTGTTTAAAACAATAAAAAAAATCGATATCTAAATTAACCGCTCCATTACTCCACACTACTCCTCAACCGACTCCATTACTCCTACCTACTCGTCCGCAGTAGCCTCGGCCACAGCCGTGTTGTCGCAGTAACTGACATAGATGGGGGTCTTCTCGCTAATCACACGCTCCTCCGCATTCAGTAGCGTGCGGATACTCTTGGACAGATTGAACATGCCCAGGTGTGCCACTCCGTCGTAGTGCTTGAGCGTATCCGCGCCCAGACGCGCATCTACCACAGCATCAATCTCGGCTGGCGAGCAAGTTTGCAGGCGACTGGCGGGTAGACACGTACCCTCACTGTGTATTGGAATAGGTTGTTAATAGCCAATTGTATGTGTACGGGAATGGAATGTTATCAGTCAGTTGTATGTGTATGGGAATGTATTGTTATCAGTCAGTTGTATGTGCATGGGAATGCATTGTTATTAGCCAATTGCATGTGTATGGGAATGTATTGATATTAGCCAATTGCATTCTTATTAACCAATTGCATGTGTATGGGAATGTATTGTTATTAGCCAATTGTATGTGTATGGGAATGTATTGTTATTCGCCAATTGTATGTGTATCGGAATTGATTGCTATCAGTCAATTGTATGTGTATGGGAATTGATTGCTATCAGTCAATTGTATGTGTATGGGAATGTATTGTTATCAGTCAGTTGTATGTGTATGGGAATGGATTGTTATCAGTCAATTGTATGTATATGGTAATGTATTGTTATTAGCCAATTGTATGTGTATGGGAATTGATTGCTATCAGTCAATTGTATGTGTATGGGAATTGGTTGCTATCAGTCAATTGTATGTGTATGGGAATGTATTGTTGTTAGCCAATTGTATGTACATGGGAATGCAATATTGTTAGTCAGTTGTATGTGTATGGGAATGCGTTAGTATTAGTCAATTGTATGTGTATTGGAATGCATTATTATTGGTCAATTGTATGTGTATGGGAATGCAATATTATTAGTCAATTGTATGTGTATGGGAATGCATTAGTATTTGTCAATTGTATGTGTATGGGAATGCATTAGTATTAGACAATTGTATGTGTATGGGAATGCATTAGTATTAGTCAGTTGTATGTGTATGGGAATGCATTATTATTGGTCAATTTTATGTGTATGGGAATGCATTATTATTAGTCAGTAGTATGTGTATGGGAATGCATTAGTATTAGTCAATTGTATGTGTATGGGAATGCAATAGTATTAGTCAATTGTATGTGTATGGGAATGCATTAGTATTAGTCAATTATATGTGTATGGGAATGCATTAGTATTAGTCAATTGTACGTGTATTGGAATGCATTATTATTGGTCAATTGTATGTGTATGGGAATGCATTAGTATTAGTCAATTGTATGTGTATGGGAATGCAATATTATTAGTCAATTGTATGTGTATGGGAATGCGATATTATTAGTCAATTGTATGTGTATGGGAATGCACTATCATTAGTCAATTGTATGTGTATGGGAATGCATTATTATTAGTCAATTGTATGTGTATGGGAATACATTATTATTAGTCAACTGTATGCGTGTGTGATATAGAAAAGTAGGAGACCGACGATCACATGCGTATTGCGATGTCGTGCAGATAGGATAAGTGCACACGTTAGATTTTCGGCCAGAGAGCATGTTTGCCAGCGGCTTCCCACTGGCATACCCTCCCTGTTTGGGGTTATAAACATACTGGTTTGCAAATCATGTATTCGAGCATGTGAAATGTACACAGAGAAGTGTATATGTGCGAGTCAAAATGATGCATGCAAATTGTGTCCACATGTTTGAGTATTGCATCTACATGTTGGATGTTAGCAGGCCGCCGGAGGGTAGACACACACCCTAGCTGTTTTTTGGTGTGTTTAAATTATACGTTCAGCGTGTACACGTACTATCGTAGGAGTGCTGTATTGCAGCAAGTGTGCCGGCAGTGAACACATCCCGTTCATGTGCGCAGGTCAGTGTTGAAGGTACCTCTACCGGTCCCGCCAGGAAAATAAAGACACGCCACTACCGACGATATATATATATGTAGATACATGTTCTTGTTTGATAATTGATGTACACTAAAAGTACGATATCACAGTAAGAATGGTACATCAGTTGTCAAGCCCACAGAAGAAAGTAGTGATTGCATGTGATCGACTGGGCGAACATTAAACTTTCTATTATGCCGTACAAGGACGTTGTTCCTAAAGAGGTAGACAGCGTAAATATTCGTAACAAAAGCGTATGTCATACCGATATAGCTGTTCATCCAAAGAATACTAGGGCCGAGTTTGGCGATGCATATATACATACACACATATACAATATGCATACAAAATCTGTTTAAGATGTAGGGGAGCCACGCAGTGTAGTTGGCTATGGATTCCAAACTATTCCCTAGAACCAATCCACCCATAGTATTCACCCATTGTCATCATACTCTCCCATGAGTACACTCAAGACAACCAGCTGTTGCACGAACACTTCTCTTGAAATCTCATGAACAAACTCACACGGCCCAAAGACGTTACTTACGCGCTCATGTCTGTCTTGGTGGCCATGTTGAAGCCCCACGAGTGTGCGAATGACGGGATGTGTGTCTGGTACGCATACGCAGTGTCAAAGTCTGACGACTTCAAAGTGTTGTACACGGGTGTGTACACATCCTTGCACACCAACAGGGACGCGGGGCCGGACTGAGTCACAAACACTCCCCCGGGCGATAGCTTGCGGTAGCACATGTTGTAGAACTCCTTCGAGTACAACGTGTAGCAAGGCCCGTATTCCAATGGATCGGACAGGTCCAGGATAATCACGTCAAAGTGTCCGTCCTCGTACTTCTCCAGCGTGGCCTTCGCATCGTCGACCACCAGCTCGAAGCGAGGGTCCGTGTACGCACCCTCGTGCCACTCTTCCATCTGCTCCTCACACATCTTGCACACAATGGGGTCGATATCAGCCATCACACACTTCTCAACCGATGGGTGTCGTAGCACCTCACGTGCGGTTGCGCCTTCGCCGCCACCTGATGGCGTGGTGTGTCAACATACAAGTGTGTAGGTATGAGCACGTGGCATTTTGAAGGTTAGGCATTCGTCGGTTGTATCGGAAGTACCGTTGATGTCTTGGCAAACCTCGTACAGATGTCTGACAATCTCAACATAAACGATCACGACTGAAAATACGATATTGTGAACTTGTATGTGTGTATAGAGGAGGTTTACGTTTATTGGTAAATGCCCTTCTCCGTCGATGTGAGCAGCCGCATCTTCATATATATATATATATATATATATAATATAATAATATATATATCAACATGTTTTCACACACACACACACACATATATATAAATGTGAACATATAAATGAATAAATAAATGAACAAATAAACATAAATATATATATAGATATATATAACATTAGAGACATATGTTGTTGTATGTACATAGTTGTGCAATGTATGCCATAGTGAATGCTTGACAACCAGGTTATCCATCTAGCGTGACAAATTCATTTGGCCACCGTCTATAGTATATCAATGAGCCTAGACAACACTTTCCGTAGCATCGCGCGTGCTACTACACACATATTCATCACCACATGAAGCCGATATCCTTGATTACTACTGGTGTAAGACTATGGAATAGCCTATTTCGAGTATAGGCATATGTGAAAGATAGATAGTAGAGTCCCGAAGGAAGAAACCCCAGGCAGCCCATGTATATAATTATTCAAAAATCTATGCGAACTTCATAGAGAATTAAGCCAAATTGACATGCGCAGCAAAATAGAGCCACGAGGCAACCTTTTGACATACACACACCCAACCTCGCCTCAAGTACAGAAAGTAGAAGTACACGAAGAAAAATCACTATCAACGTCATACAACAAACACACATAAATAGAGGGGTGCACCCTATTTTTGATGAATTGGGATGGGACAGCATAACCGCTTGCACCAACCGCTTATGTACATGTGCTTGTAAACAAATTTGCATGCCTAGATATGCACTCCTACCAAGAAGGTAAACATCATACGACAGGTCTACGTACCTCCAATGTATACATTCTTGGGATTAGGATGGGAGAGCATAGCCGGCTGCACTAAGCTCTCGTGGTACATGTGCTCATCATTCTTGGCACTCTGCACCTGATCGTCTAACAACAACATCTTCCCGTACGCTTCTGATTCAATAATGTCGACTGTCTGGAAATCAGATTGGCCACTAAACAAGCGCTTCTTCGTGGAGAAACAGTGGACTACGCCGGGTGCGTTGGCTTCGTGGAACCATTGGCCGTAGAAGGTGGAAGTCATAGTGAAAGGGTATTGTTGCTATCAGTGACTGTATCGTGTAGAGGTCAATAGTGTGTAGGATGGACGTGGGCATACATGAGCTTATAATAACTATTTTTTTTTTGTTTGAATTTTTGAAGGGGGTTTTTTACGTGACGCACTTTTATTTTTGTGGTTGTTACTTTTTACACGTGACATGGCGCACATATACTGGCACCCTGAAATGGCAGGTGTCACAATTTTGGCGGGTTTCTTGTATTGATAGTTTTATACTCCTACAGTCCTAGTCCCTCTGGAATCCTTTTCCTCTCCTCTCTCTAAAGAGAGAGAGAGAGAGAGAGAGAGAGAGAGCAGAGAGGAAGTCCGGGTCCCATCATTGATGATCAAACCCTTCACTCGCAATTTCGCATGTTTGTACAACATGTTCATCTAAGTAAAGCGTACATAAACATATTCTGAAATACACAAAGCTTTTTTAAATTTTTGAACACCACTGCTTTTATAAAATAATAATGGATTGCACGCAAAACCTACATTGCAAACATTGCGATATTGAACCGTCGAATATATACCCAGACTATATGTTAAATGTTACCGATACGTTTGGTTTAACTATCGGTTCGTCGGGTCATCGGGAATGTATGCGCCCGCGTTGAAAAGGATAAAGAAACACCCTACATTTGGTTAAGCTATCCCACTGTATATGATATGACTAGAGTAAAAGTAAGAGTGTTCATTTCTCAATATTAATACTGCCTTCTATATATACACTACATAAATGCATGTACGTATACTGTTCTAAACATTCCTATTAACACAAAATATGATAATGTATATTTAATTTACCGTTGATACATATTTTTAAAATAAGATATGGCCCTGCTGGATTTCGTTTTTAAATCGAGCAAATGTTCGTACATTGGTAGTAGTCTGGATGTTCATCACACCTACTTCAAAGTGTACAGTCTACCAGCACTTTAACGACTTAAGGATATATATTTAGTGATTGAACTTTTTTTTTTTTGCCTAAGTGTTACGGTATCAAGTAGAGATGAATACGAAACATCGCTTTTAAAATGTGGGTCTTCATGATTTAATTATTTGTCGTATATTCGGCATATTCTACTCGTCTTCGTCATCCATTAAATGTGACAGCGCCACCACCGGCGGTCTCGCTGCAGCTCTTTGTCCCGCACTCCTCCTCTGTCGCTGGCCGCCACCGCCGTTCGCGCCTCTTCTATTTATAGCCGAGGCCGGTCTCTCACCAACCACGACCTCCTCCATCATGCACACGCCATTGTTCGAACTGAGCCCCAGAGCATTACGCATAGCCGTCGCATGCACCACAGAATCGTATGCCCCATTTGCAGCCATACCTGTGTTGCTCTCCGTACTGTCTAATTCAGTATACTCTGCAATTTGTGCCGAACACTCTTCGACATCTTCCGGTGCGTCTTGGTGGCTTTGCCGTCCGCTGACTACAGACGGATTGAATGCAACATGGTGTGCTATATCCACCTCATTATCCTCAGTATGTCTGCCACTTCCGGGGCTGTGTATAGTCATATCTTGTAACTCTTCAGGCAGCTCTGAGGCCAATCTCCGCCCTCGTAATGACGATAAGAACGCAAATGCACTCTGCTGTACACTTGAATCGTTCCAAGCCCGCTCTTCTTCAGATGTGATGGTATAGTGTGTGTAACTTTGTCTCTCCTGCAAAACCAGAATATAATAATTACAATAGTCAGTAAGCCTGCATCCAAGTAAGTAAATCTATACGTATACAGATACATGCATACATATATATATATATATATATATATATATATATATATATATATATATATACATATATATATGTATATATATATATATATATATATATATTTACATATATATATAAATACATCTATATATATAAATACAACATATACATATATATATTATTTATTGTACACACACACACACACACACACACACACACATATATATATATACAACCATGCGTACATACATTTATACATACATACATACGTGCGTAGGCACGCGCATACATCCAAACTAATATATATATACGTCTATACATACACACGTATAAACAAATATAGATACATACATTTCTTCATACATACATATATTATACACATACATATATACAAACATAAACACGCACATGCATAGATACACATATATTACATACGTATACACATACATTTATACATACATAATACATACATACACACATACATACAAACATAGATACATTTATACATACATTCATACTTTCATGCATACATGCACGTGTAAACATACATGCATACATACATGAAAATTCCATCCATATATATATAAATATACATACATACATACATACATACATACATAAATGCATATATATATATATATGTGTGTGTACACATACGTACGAATACACACGTATACGTATGTTTATATGTATACTATTTTTTAAGGCAACTTTGTAAATATGCTACAAGATTCAACCGCAGAATATATACATTGATTCCACATAAACGCCAGAACAAAACACGAATCTGGAAAATAGCTCGGAGGCCTATACTATAGATAATTCGCAAGCTACTTAACAGTATTTAACAACGCATATACACAGTATATGGATTACTCGAAGTTACGGCGCACCCCGTTTTCGAAACCCACTATACAACAAGAAGAACACACAGAAATAGAAAGGATGTCCTAATAATCACCCATTCGTGAAGAACTACCTTTCATTTACGTGTAAATCAATATCTACAAACAGTGCTATCATAATTTTTGCGATAGATATGTGTGCATATACGCAGTGGAAAATAGCCCGAGGACGCAAGAGTTTTCTGATTTCGCAAACTATTGTAATCTACCGTATCACGTTTACACTTACATACATACATACACACGATGTCTAAGAACTATAACACAAATCATGTAGACAGACACAGACACAGACACCCAAACACGTGTACATAAGTGTACACGTACACATACTATTCATAAACAACTGCACAGGCACCAAACAAATACATACCAGGTTCTCGCCCACTCGGAAAGTCTGCCTCCTATTGTTATGTGTACCAGGACCTGACGATACTGCAAGTATGATATCGCGCGATATGTCCTCTTCTTCAGCTGCACTCAAATCGATCATATCATCGCACTCCAAATCCCCACGTCTTGGATGTGGAAGCACGTGTATACTCTCATCTCGGGGTTGTCTATGTAAACCATGATCTGTGGTCGATTGTGTATTGAATGATACAGGTCTGTTTCGTGTATTAGATTCGTCTCTATGTACGTCGCTATCACTGTCCAATTGTATATTCATACGGTTAGGTGCAACTACTTGGTCTAATGCTGCATGCAATGCTGAGGTGTTACGAGGAGCATGGCGGAGATTGAACTCCCGCGGCTCCCTCTGTTCACATAGTATCGTCTCCATATCCATAGTGTGCATTGGAACAGGCATAGTGGTGCCGATCAGGATTGTAGAGTGATATAGAGATGTAAAAACAAAATGGAAGTATTTAAACCTTAGTCCAAATGTATATTGGAGACCTGAATCATGTATGAATACATTGAGAGACATATATTCGTGACAATATCGTAGGTGCTTCAGATTGTGAAAAAAGATTACGAGTTAGTCTATGGCATTTCTGTTGCATATTAACATTATGCGACATTGTAGGATGTTCTCAATTCCTTTTTAGAATGAGATCATGGGATCTGTATACGCGATGTCATTTATAAAACTATAGATTTACGACATTTCTGATATGTAGCGTGGTGCTTATTTACGTTAAATGGAAACTACCAGGCTCCAAGTCTCCTACAGTAAATTTTGACCATTTTGACCACTTCTGTATACAACGCATGTGTACCTATTAAACTTAGACGCGGCTCTATAAGACTTAGCTAACGAACAGAGGCCTGTTATACTAAAAGCTACACATATTATATTACGATATTGTATGGAATTCAAAGACACAAGGGGTGCAAGACGATACAACATGGCCAAGAAAAAGATCTCAGAGAACCCCAAGGCCGTCGACGCTCGTGCCCGTAAGGAAGACAAGAAGCAGGCAGTTAAGGTATGGGTGTGTGTTGACAGCATCCACACTTGTTTTTGATTAGAATATTCATTGTCACACAATATTTTCTTTATATGACCCTGATTTGATTGCTTCTAATACACAGTCAGAAT